ACTAGCTAAGTATAATTAAAAAACTTTATTAAATAGAATGAGATATACATTTTTTAGTAATTAAATAAATAAATAAATATTAGTGTTAAGACAAGATTGACGATCACAGTCGAGAAAACGAAATTACGTGTATAAAATTGTATAAATAATGATAATATTATACGTAATATTTGATATACATTTAGAAATATAAACGTACAAAATTATAAATTTTAAAATTATACATATATGTATATAGACACTATTTTTAATTTAATTATTATACTATAATTATTATTACAGTATTTAATTGAAAAGTTTTTGTGTTATTTACGATTTTTTGTTATCTATTTTATAGATACATTGACAAAAAAATATTTTACAAAAGAATTAATATTTTAAAAAAGTTATTTCCGCATGCACATAAAATTTACGTATTTCGAAAATGGAAAAGAATCTGGATTAATAGATTTTAACCTGGCCCGAATTTTATTTACCGTTATTATAAAAAACGAGCCTTTTATACTAATTGGAAACAATTATCAAAGTCAACTCTATGTGAAATTAGTTTTCTAAAATTAAAAATAGCTTAAAATTAAAAATTTTTTATTGTAAGAAAGCTATATCGTTTAAAATAATTGAAAGACATTTGAAAAACCAAGTTAACTGCGCGACATTTATTTCAGTTTTTCTCAGAGCACTGCAATCTCGAACAGTCTTATAGATATGTAGGGATAAGTTCATAAAAGAATTCTGTTAGTGTTCATATCCGTTCTGATTTCAAGACCATCTTAAGTAATGTATTAAGATGCTAATATTGCTCTCTCATTGGTTCATGCATCTTATGACTGTACTTGAGACGATCTTAAATATAAGAATCGATTATGAATACCGGTCTAAAATATCTCAAGATTATATTTAAAAAATTATGCTCGAGTGAAAAAATCGCTGAATTTATTAAAATCAACAATGAAAAATCGTTGAAATGGAAAATGAAAATCACTGAAATATTGTTTAAAATATTTCAGCATAAATAATTTTGATATTGAAATAATGATAATAAAAATTAATGAAAAGTAATCAAAAATAATGAAAACTAATGTAAATATATTTAATGTTCATACTCATTTTTATTTAGAGATATTAAACACTGGTTATATTGAATTATACTGAAATATCATGAATCCTAAAGATAATTATTGAAAATGCATGAAAAAAAATAAAAATAATGCAAAACATATAATACTTTTACACCTTATTTACAGTATATTGTACACTGAAATATGTTGAAATGTGCTAAACTCCGAAAAAATTAATGAAAATTTCTGAAAAGTAATGAAATGGGAATGAAATATACAGATTTTTAAAAATTTATTCATGAAAACGGAACAGAATAATTAAAATGTTAGAATTAGTTGAACGACGTAATGAAATTTGCTGAAAAATAATGAAAACAGTTAACATTATAACGAAAAGCGCGAAATTTATCTTTCTAGGAGTGTCGCTAGATGGTGTCGGTTCTCGCATGTAAAATTTGCTCTGTATATAATTAGATCTATATAACCGAAATCAGATTATCTACAGACAAGTTAAATTTACATTTCTATACCCACAGTAATCGATTTTGTCCCTCGGAAAGTTTCACAAACTGAGAAGTCTTTCTATATTAATGCTTACAGTTCACGATAAACGACACGATTAAAACTCCGCTTACGACCACATTTGACATAAAGACGAAACAACTCGACTTTTCGGAAGTTTTAAATAAGTATTATAAATACACAGTAGAAGCAATTTTTTCAACAGCATGCAGAATACGATGAGTTGTAGGAAACTTTGATTATATTGTTAATTGTGCAAGGACTGGGCATTAATATAGAAAGGTGTTTACATCTCAGTTCATGAAAATTTCTTAGTAACAAAATCAATTACAGTGGTGTACATGGTTTTTGCATGTGTTCTGGTACACGCATGGTATTTTTGTATCAACGCTAAATATAACAATAGCTAAATATAACAATATTTTCTATTGAATTATTTGTAAAATATTAACAAATTGTAATGAAATCTTAATAAAATAATACTGAAAATGGATCAATTAATGATCTCAATATTTAGTAATATTTCATTATTATTCATTACAATTTCAGTAACATTTCATCATTATTCATCACAATTTCAACAATATTGCATCATTATCTATTACAATTCAAGAAAAAATTTCCCATTAAAGCGCTGTTTAAAAGATTTTTTTTGCGACAGTTGCAATGTCACTCATACAAAGAAAAATGAAACAATGTTTCTTTTTTTATTGAGAGATTTAGAAAGGAAAGAGAGATACGTGTATTTCCCGCGGTATATATGTGTCAATAGTAACCGTGACATGACATTCAAAGGCGTTACGAGAGCTGTAGTATCGGATTTCAATCGATCAGTAGTCTGTGGTTGGGTCTGATATGTGATGGGCGACATCAGGAAGTTTTTTTACACCCTTCTTGATATTTGCCGATGTTTTTTTGATCAATCAGATACATTCAGGGATTGAAACATATCTATACTTTACCATCCTGGTACATCTCGCGTGTACGATCTCCAATCTATCCTTCATCAAAGACGACGTGCATCTGCATTCAGCGAGCTGGTCAAGAAGCACGGCTCCATGTTCAACGTTCTTCTCATCGTCGTTCACAATGATAGTCGCATCGTAAAACATTTCGACGCCAGAATTTCATGCAGGTAGACAGATTTATCAATATCCTCGACAATTATGGCATTATCACGCTGTTACTTATTTAAACCTATAGAGTGTTTAATGTCTCCTTAGAGTTCTCTAAAGAGAGTTGCACTTTTAAATGGCAAAGTTAGTCCGTTTATTTTTCAAGTGGTAAAAAAATCGAAACTTATTTCTGGATAATTTGACATAAAAACTTTGTTTAAAATCAATTTTTGGTTAAATATGAGATAATATAATTAATTTTTTCAATTTTAGATTTTAACTATCTATTTCTCAACCAGTATATTAATTATTAATTAGCAAAATCGCAGATCGAATGCCGAGTCATTCATATTGTATAATAAATAATGAATACAAAAAACCGATCCTTGGATGATGGATTATTACAAGTCATGCTATAAATGTTAATATATTATTTCTCTGATGTATCTTTTCAAAACATTCACGTAATAGTTGAAGGGAAACATGTAATTTCAGATATATTTGGATTATAAATGACTCTATATTCATTGAGTAAATTAATATGTTGTTTGCCCAGCGAATTTTGTCTTATCCTTACATAAGTGAAGCTATATTTTATAACTAATGTGTTGAATTGCTTTAAGTTATCTATTTTTCTAAGTCATTTAAAATTTTATATTAAATAACATTTATTTTTTATTTAGTATTTAAAAAATTTTATATAAAATTTAATTGCTATAAGATGCTATATAAATATTGTATAAATTAAATGCTGCATAACATTAAAAAAGAATTTTATCATGAATGACAATGGCAGTCAACATGTTAATTACCACAGGCTTTTGACGAAAGAGCGGAAAGTAATAGAATTCATTGTTAGTTGCCAAAACTGCTTCGGATTACCTACGAAAATGTGTCTCAACTATGTTCTCTTGCTTTTTTTTTTAAGATAGCGGCCTATATTAAAAGTGAAAGTAAAAATTTTAATGAAAATAAAATGAAAATTTGCGAGGTACAATACGTATAATGACAAAAATATGAAATATTGTTGTAGATAGTAATCCAATTTTATACCATAAATGATTTGTAAAATTAATGCAAAAGTGATTCGGCGATTACAACATTAAATTAAAGCTAATTAAGAGATAATGCGAATAATTTATCTTTCTCATTATTCGTGTTTTATAGGGTAGAGTGGAGCTGTTCCGTCATTTTCAATCTTAAAATAATATAAAATTTACGGTAATAAACAACATTTTTTTTGCAGTAACGTACTTATAACTACCTTATACAATTATGATTGCTTCTTGAGAGCATAAGTATGACCCTTAAATTTTTAATGTACGCTGCTCAGAAACAATATCGTGAGAAATGGACGAAACAGCCCCGCTTTACTCTACCATAGAGATACTTTTTTCTATTTAAAGATTTCTCGTTATTACAAATTAATTTTTATAGTTCTTCATAATTTTAATTTCTATAAAGCGGTTTTTAAAAAATACATAATCGAGAAATATTGAGCTGAGTCAAATCTGGTTTACAGATTGTGCCATCGATAATTAGGTACATAAGAGAGATATACAAAAATTAATGAGTCAAATGCATCATTTGCTTAACGCGATGTAAGTGATTTTATATGTATTTATGACACATTAGCGTATCATGTAACTGACACTTAAAATTGAGATATAAAACTCATGAGCATGTAATGCCTTAATGTTTACGATAATATTGGGAGTGTTGTTGTATAATTAGCTCACAGGATGGAGCGAATATTTACGAAAAAGGGAAAACGATAAAACAGGCCAACACACAAAATGCCGAAGACCCGATTGAAGTCTCCATTTTGTTCGCGATATTTGATATTTTCTTATAATTCCGATGAGAGAGAGAGAGAGAGAGAGAGAGAGAGAGAGAGAAAACGAGTGTGCAAGTGATGTGTGTCCCATAGCGAATTGCTATCTAAAATAGCTAGATGTCAATGTTTGTAGCAGATCAGAACTGCAGCACAGCATATTGTAATTAAAAAGTCGTTAATATCATTGATTATTTTATTTATCTAACCTACTTATTTATTGTAATTTTGGTAATACGACAATACAATGTATCGGAAAAAGTATATATTACATATGTATTATCAATTAATTTATGTCAATATTTCTGTTCGCTGAGAACAAATGCTCAAAATAAATTTTGAGATATTAATAATTTTCAGATCTATTTAAAAGAACAAATATGTTATACAATTTTACAGATATTTATATAACTTAATTTACATTTTCACAAAAGGCAGAAATAAATAGTGTTTCATAGTGTTTCTGAAATATTAATAAGTTGAATTAAAATTATTATTTGTTATGTTTGTGAGGACGTTTTTATGTCTCTCCTTCGTTACAGGAATCTCGCAATCTCTATAAAGTACATCACAGTTTTCACCTCGAATTCCCGCTGCACCTGCATCTCTCACAAGGCGATCCCAACCTGAGGATAACTTGAACGATTTTTCTATGTTTTTCCTGTGAAAAAATCGTAACGTTAAATCTTAATACAAATTAAGTTCATATTTAATTGAATTTAGATTAAGTTGGAACTATATGAACGAATATGCAAATTTTATTATAATTCTGCTTTTATCAAACGTTTCTATTGAATTCAATTATACATATAACTGGAACGTAAAATTTTTCCGTATTTTTCTTTTATTTTTTTTTTCATTATTTTTTAACTTTATATTAAGTTTCTAGTGTTAATCGCCATGTTGAAAATAATAATAACAAAACCTACGTCAAGTACTTTGCCAGCATTTTACCCGGTGTGCCCAAATCTCTAAAGAGCTTGCGATTTTCAAGACAAATCGTCCTCTGTATGCAGCGTACTCTGGCATCATTATTAAGAATCTCTTCCTCTTCTGGGGTCTAAAAGTTCGTGAAAAGTCTTAATCTACTACTGAACACAAAAATTTTTGCTGCGAAGTCTGGTATTCATGATTTATTTTAGCAATTTTGTTCAGCCAACAGAAACGAAATGTTTCATCACGATAAGTAAGCTTTCGAGTTTCCAGCTTGCCTGACTATATTCGCGGTTGAATTGAGACGAGTGATAAAAACTTGAAATTTAATTTGTAACTTTTCAAATGTATCTTCAAATGGAGAGAATTTTCTATTGAATACAATTCATAAATTCTGCAATAATCTAAAAAATATCGAAAACGTAAAAAAATTCGAATTTAAGTTCTTATTAAGAAACTTATCGAAAAGAAAGTTCTGTATAATTTATTAATTCCATTTAAATATTATGGAATTTTAGAAATTTTTGATTAAAAGGGTCCCCTTTAACATAACATCATCACAAATTACGTACCACGGAACGAAAATCATGCGTAACGTAAACGTCCCGCTTTTGCCTAGACGATAATAGATCCATTATCGCATCCTTCCGCTTAACAGCGCTAAGCGTATTCTGTATAATCGCCAAAAGCAGTAAAAGACCGATGAAACTGACTATTACAAGCTGTTTCGATGACGGTCCAACGGAGTGCTCTATTGACTGTGCTACTGGATATGCAACATTGGGATACTCATATCCATACGGTATGTTTTCACTTCTATGATGCAGAAACGCTCGTTGAGGCACTAAAACATTTTTTTTAAATATCAACAATGTGTTTATGTAAATGAAGCTGTGACTAAACAATTTAAGCCTTCATATACTTATAATATATTATTATTATTATTATCAATATTAACAAATACTTCTTTAAAGAATTTTTACAATTATTACTTATATAAAATAATATACAAAAATTAATTGTTAAAAATTTAAAAATCGTAT